CCATTCAATCCAAAGAGTTTTATGATTTTAGGGAGGGGAGGTGACAAGAATAGACCATAAAGCCAATTTGCGAATTTGCTGTCTTGCCTGGCTGCACACCACCTCCCTGACGCAGTGTGTGTGTGTGTGTGTGTGTGTGTGTGTGAGAGAGAGAGAGAGAGAGAGAGAGAGAGAGAGAATCCCCTTTTGTAAGTTTGCTTACTTGCAATGCTTTCCTTTCACCACATTTTCACTTCCCTGCTGGTTCAATTTCTCCCTCTCTCTCTCCCTCACACAAAAAAACTCTCCTGCTTTCTCCCCCTTCTCGCACTTTTCCTCCAGCCTGCACCTGAACAGAGTGGGAGGAGGTTAAAAAAAAAGAGAAGGGGGGAAGAAAGGGGGAAGCTCCACTTTTTTGTAATACCTCAGTTTCCTCTTCCTTCTCTTCCCCTCCTGGTATGCTCACACACACACACACACACACACACACACACACACAGAGAGAGAGAGAGAGAGAGAGAGAGAGAGAGAGAGAGAGAGAGAGAGAGAAACCCTTCCCGCTTTCTCCTCCTTCTCACTCTTTCTCTCCAGCCATCACACATTGCTGCCCACCAGCAGTTCCAGGCTGCGGCTCTACACAATGCTGCATTCCCCTCTCCGGCCCTACAATGTGGCAGAGAGGGCGAATGAGAGCTGGCTGATACTTGGCTTGTGCCACTGTGCGCTCCCATTTCCGTGTCTTTCATCCCACAGGCTGGGCATGCCCTGGGGCGCTAGGCTTACAGAACGCCAAGGCCCAAGTGAGGAAAGGCACAGTGCAGCAAAGCAGAGCTGGACGAGGAGAGGCTCTGCCAAGCGGGGAATGGCCTGGCGTCACGGGAGAGGCTGGGAGGGGTGGGGTGAGGCAGGGTGAGGCAAATGAGCTGCAGCTGTTGCTGCAAACCACCAGCCCCTGAGCATTTGCCATTTCTTGTGCATGCGCCGGGAGGGCGCCCAGCCAAGTTGGGGTGAGCCAGGGCTGGGGCAGCAGGGGCCCATCCCAGGAGGCCAAATTTGGGCCCGGCCCGGCCCCGGGGCCTTGTGTTTTACATATCTGAGCTACAGCTTTGGTGGCTCTATAGGCACCTGCTGCTTTGGTGGCTCTGTAGGCAGAACTACGAAGTTCTCTTCTCTGACAGAGAAAAGAACTTCGCAGCTGTGCCTACAGAGCCACCAAAGCAGCAGGTGGAGCACCGAAGGCTTGGGGAGGGAGGGAGGGCGCTGAAGTGGGTGGTCAGGCCATTGGCAAGAGCAATGCGTTTGAGCGGAAATCAGCCTTGGAACAAGTGGGGCAGGTAAGGAAAGAAATCCTCGTTCCCCCCCAGAAATTGCCTTTTTTTCCTTACCTGACTTCCAGCCCTGTGCTATTGCTCCTTCGCAATCCGCCGCCACTGCCGCATGCAAGAAAACAAAGGAAGTTTTTTTGGGGAAAAAAGGTCAATCAATTCCAACTTCTCGTGAAAGATTGCAAAGTTGGAATTGATTGATTGACCTTTCCCCCCCCCCCCAAAAAAAACTTCCTTTGTTTCCTTGCACATGGCAAGGGTGGATCGCGAAGGAGAAATGGCACAGGGCTGGGAGTCAGGTAAGGAAAGAAAGGCAGTTTCTGGAGGGAGCGAGGATTTCTTTCCTTACCTGCCCCAGTTGTCCTGAGGCCACTTTATGCCCCACTGCGTTGCTCTTGCCAATGGCCCGACCGCCCATTTCAGCAGCCTTCCTCCCCGAGCCTCTGGCGCTCCACCTGCTGCTTTGGTCGGCCTGCCGGCCCCCACCTCAGCACCCTGCCCACCGCCGCTCAGCATGGCTGCCCCGGGGCTGCAGGGGCTGGCCTGGCATGGGAGGGGCATGTGCCTCACCCTCACATCATGCAGGGTAAGGTTGCCGCGCCCACCCCTGCCCAGATGCCCTCACCTCCCCCAAGCATTTTTTTACTAACCTGACTTTCAGCTGCATTCCGTTTCTCCATTCGCTTCTCAGCCTTCGCCGCGTGTTTGTGGGACTATTGGTTAAAAAAAAAGTTCCATCAGACTTTCTAAGTTCTTGAGATCTTGTGAGAAGTTAGAAAGTCTGATGAAACTTTGTTTTTTTTATTAATAGTCCGACAAACACGTGGCGAAGGCTGAGAAGCGAATGGAGAAACGGAATGCAGCTGAAAGGCAGGTTAGTAAAAAAACGCTTGGGGGGAGGCGAGGGTATCTGGGTGGGGGCGGGCATGGCAACCTTATCCTGCGTGGCTTTGGCAGGTGTCTGGCAGGGGGAGGGAAGCAACTGGTCTATCACCATGCTAGCGCCACTGCGTTGCTTCACCCCATGCACAGGCCCCGCCCCACCCCTCACATGGAGTACCCTGCTCCTGCTGCTCCGCTCCACCCCCACACAGCACCTTCTTTCCAGCTCCAATGCGCCACTTCCTTCGCCACTGTGTGGGACTAAAAGTAAAGTTCAATCAATCAATTCCAACTTTGCCAAATTTTTTTTCCCGCGAGTTGAAATTGATTGATTGATTGATTGAACTTTTTTTTTTTTTTTGCACATGGCGGAGGCCTAAAGTGAAAAGGTTTCATAAAACCCAGCTTAAAAAGTCACTTGCCCCGGGAGATTTTGAAGCAGGTTGCTCATGGATGGGATTTAAGGCCTTGGACTGGGGCGACGGCATGCGTGCCTATAGAAAGGGCTCTGCGTGCCAGCTATGGCATGCGTGCCATAGGTTCACCATCACGGTTCTAAAGTGTGTGAGTGAAACACTGTATAGCACTTATAATTTTAATTACAGTAGTGCTAAAAGCACATATGAAGCAGGAAAACAAGGGCACACCTTATTTTAATAGAATTCAAGGACGTGAAGTTCCCCTCCCCCTTAAAAGGAAAAATAAATATTTTGCCTGCACAAATTGATTTAAGTGACAGCCCAATGTAGCATTTGGCAAAATAGCATTATTTGTGTTGTGTTCATGTGGCGCTCCATCTGTGTTGGAAGAATTCATGTCAATTATTCGACAAATGTTTTGGTTGGAACTGGATGTATTATGCTATGAATCCTGATGAAGCTTCCAAGTATCGCTTTTTGTTATTACACAGAGTTAAAATCATATTCATATGAGCTATCCAGTTTTTGCTAGAGTCAGGTGTTTTAACTTGGAGTCTTAATGAGATTTTCTTGCAACATAGAAAATGCCACTTATGTTTGTAAATACAGTATAGCAATCTCTTCCAATCTACTGATTTTAGATGTATTGGACTTATCTGGGAGTTAAAAGTCCAATAGGTTCTTGCTGACAACCTCTCTCTCATATTACATGTTTTGTTCTGGAAATGTTCTTTGATCTAAAGGCAGACACTTAGGAAAGGATTGGTTAGGGTTTAACCTTATTCCTTGATGATAAGATACCAGGGTGTGACCCCAGAAAAATTAGTTTGAATTCAAAAGATCATTATGATAGGATGATCTGTGTTTTCACGGATCTTTATATAATCACTGAAATATGATGGCCATTAGATGCTAAACGCAAGAGTGTGTTTATTTGTAGCTCTGTTTGCAGTTCAGCTGCTCTGCCCTCCAACCAGCAATATATGGAGAGAACCCTAAACCTAACCCTAACCCATCTTCTGAGAATTGTCATGCATGGTCTCCGTATCCATGTATGAAAGGGGAAAGGAAAAGGCCTTCTCTGGCCTCAGAAAGGAAACCTAAATGTAACTGAATGTATAGTCTTTCAAACCTACACATAGATATACACAGATCACTCTGAAAACAGAGAAAAGAGAAGATATTTGGGGAAAGTGGGCAGATAGTCATCCCCATTCTTTGGATTGCTCTTTGGAGGGAGATTTTTGCAATTTATTTTTCTATGCAGTTGGATTAGGAAATGCTGGTTTAGATAGGAGGAATTGGTTCAATTCTACTATAGTACTATATAGATCTACTATAGATCTATTTAGCACCAAATTCTGGAATTCTGAGTTATTCTGCTGGTGACACCACGCTGAAAATAAACCCAGCAACAGGGATATGAGATGTTCAATCCAGAGCATTGCTGAGGTTCTGGACTACAACTCCCAAGGTTCTTTGCATTGCCTATATTCTCTCGTTTTAACTGACACTGACAACCTCGGTTTGTGCATGCAGCAATTGAGATGAGATCCTTTTTCGGGAACCGCCACGCGCTCCGGGACCCGGCGGCTCGAATTGTAGCTGGCCAAGTCAGAGGCGCGTAGCTCCACCTAGTGGTTATAGAATTATGACGTTAACAGCCACGTCCAATCCCGTGAGTTTTTTCCCTACCTACACCGGGAACAACGCATCTACCGTATGTGCAAGGATGTGAAGCATTCAGCTAAATCCCGGCTTTGGAATTCAGGTGCGGCATTTGCTCTAGTCTAGAATAACATCTGCAACTGCGCCCAGGCTAAACGGCGGCTTTAAAAAGCCACCAGCGCTTGACGGTATAACGAACCCTAAGTTCCGCCGCCTGCCGAAACTGAGCAGGTGCAGGATAACTTCTCTGCGACCCACAGGTGAGGCACAAGACAAACTGCGGCATCTCCAGCCCGGAAAAGATTACCTAACCTGATGGAAGGGGTTAGCAAATGATGGCCGACGCTTAATTTGCAACAGTGAGGTGACCGTGGACTGAATTGGTGTTGGCGTGGCATTTTTTTGAACTGCTCAGCCTTTTCAAATCCTTTCAAAGGCATGAAAATTAGAATGAACATGATTTCCCGTTTTTGTTCATATCTACTGGAGGCGAGGGAAGGCTGGCGAATTCACTGCTGTGCCCAATCAGAACTCCGTTAAAATCTAAATTGCATCCCTCTTTGAGGAAAACAGCGGTCCCTTAATGAAGAAAAAAAAGGCATTTAAAGTCGTGTCGTTCGACCACGGGGTGGTTATCTACCAATCATAAAGTCTGTGGTTGCGGTCCGTCGCCACTTCGCTCCTCGCCCGTCGAAAGCCCAAGTCCTGACGGTGAGTGACGCTCTAGGATGCCTCGCGTACTCGCTGCTCTCGGCGTCTCCGACCCGGGCTGGACTTGGGCAAGGGACGCGGCGGTGGCGGCGGCGGCTTCCGTCATTTCTATCCCGCGCCGCGCTTGGACGGTGCCGCAAGTATTGACCTCTCAGGCTTTCCCTGACCAAATCCGCGCCGTCTTCCCAAGTCACAGAGGCCGGCTTATCTCTTATCCTAACGGTGCTTTCGCCTCCGGCCTCCTCCTCCTCCTGGCGGTCTTCCCCTGGCGCCGGCGCCTGCAAGCCCAACCCGCTCCCACCCTTTCCCCGGCCAAGGACGGCAGTTTTCTCCCAGTTTCTTTCCACCCTCCTATTTATTGCCGTTGTTCTTCCCTGGTCACCCATCCGATTCCAGCAGTTTTTCTATCCATAGCTATTGTATACCTTGAAAATTGTTTTCTTGCATTTTAATCTGCAATCCCTCCGGTGGGTGGCTAGGAGAGCAATAATCTTTCGTCGTGATTTTCTTTTTCTGGTAATAGTTTTGGAGAAGTAGCTGCTTGAATCTATTGCAGTAAAAGCAAGGGATTTTGGTGGCACTAAAGACTAAAATTATTAGGATATTGGCTTCATTAGATAACTGTTAAAAATTTCAGTGCTGTCACACATATAATTGGCAAATCTAATTTTGTTCATGTGCCAATAAGTGAACAAAATTTGTATGCTTTATGATTATCTTTAATTCTTGGTAGGCTTCTCTCTTCCTAGGACTAGTAAATGCCTTAATCATATTGTACAGAACTGCAGTGTAGTCCTTTTTGTGTTAGCTTTACTTCGTCCAAAAAGACTGTAATTGGAATATTTTGCATTTTCTTCATTTGTCATTTATGTTATTGGTAGATTTGTTAATGTTTTATGTAGTATTTGTATCTTTGCTTTAGGTGTAGGATTTTGCTGGCCAGTGATAGAGATGTAGAAGGAATAAGAATTGATTAGAATTGAGCATCTTTCTCAAACCTAATATTTTTCAACCATTTTGAGCATGATGTAGTCCCTAACATCTTGGTTTTAACCACAGTGAATGAAAATTATTTTAGAGCAACAATATATGAAATTATTTGCTGCCAGATAGAAAAATGAAGATCTCCTAAGTGAAATTGATTCAGTTTTAGGTATGTAATAATATAGATACCGGTAATAATGGAGGATGCTGATGTTGGATAGCATGTTTCAGAAGACTCTTCCTGATGCCTCAATTAAAGTGCTATCCAGGAGTCCATGAACTGGCAGAAAACTATATCACAATAAAATTGGCTTTCCTCTGTGGCCATTCTTATCCTGCAACAGGCATGTTAGCAACAAATGCTGTTCTTAATGTGACCTTGGTGCAGATGTAGCCCTCTGCCAGAATTGCTGTGGTTTTGCACAGTTTTGTGGAAGGGACTTACAGGGAGATCTGGCTATCAGCTGATGTCAGTTGGTAAATGGACTCATTTTAGGCATTGGCTTAGTGCTATTCCAGAAGAGCACTGAACCTGTGCTTAAAAGTTGATCAGACAGTAACTGACAAGCATGGGAAAAGTTGCTCTTTTTCTCCTGCTTTACTGACAGTCACCACTGCTGTCAGCTCAGGGACCTGTCAAGTATAATAGAAAAGTCTGATTTGAAAGAACCAGACTTTCCTGCCCAAAGTGGAATGGAGGACAGTGCCCAGAGCTATATTTGTACTAGTTTCAATGGGCCAGTGGGATCAGTCTAATCTACCGCCCCCCCAAGGGATTACCTGAGTGTACCAATTGTATCTTTATCTCTACAATATGTTGAGATAAAGAGGAAACTATTTTAACACCAGTACAGTTAAGGACAATTCAAGGCTGTTTCAGGTGTAGAAATCAGATAGAGGCAATGCCAGAAAAATGGTTTCTGGAATAAGTTTATGCTACAATTAGATGCAAATCTGAAGGACAGTTAATGCTAGTTAATGCTGGAAACTAAAGTTTGCAAATAATATCTAACATAAATACTGTATGTTTCCATGTTTATATTTTGAATGACTTTTTCCTTTTTCTATATCAGCTATGATTTTGCACTGGCATCTGTGCTATCTTAGTTTCCTTTAAAATCAGAAATACCCTAATTTGAAATTTTTGCACAAACAGTAGTTAAGAGAATTTGTGCTTTTGCACTTTAATATATGACCATAATTAAATGCATATAAGGCAAAGAAATTATTCTGAAATGAGTGTGTTTCTGATTTATAAACAGTAGTCTGCAGTGGTTTGCAGTAATTGTTATTGTATTGGGTTGAAGCATTTGAAGGCACACAATATTTGTGGTGCATCCTCAGAACAAAATTTCATCAATGTTGGATAAATGTTCTGTAATCTTGTGCTTATGTTATTATTCAGCCTTTCCCCCTAATCAATACCTTGACTGTGCATTACTGCTCATACAAAGCTGCAACTTAAAATCCATGCAGTGCATGGTATATGTATATTGAAATCATAATAAAGATTTCATTAGTCCTGATTGTTTTTTTGCCTCTTCTCCTGTTGTCATATTTATTGCTTCATGCAAGAAAAATGCTCAGTATAATGATAGACATTGTCATTGGGAACAGTCATAATTTATTTTAGAATTGGTTGACTCTTAATGCTTCTTACAGAAATAATAAATTGCATTTTAATTTAATTTAAAATGGGCTTTCAGTTATGGGGCAAGCTATTTCTTAATTGTATATCAGGGAATCGGGAATTGTATCATGAAGGAGAGACTGCTTGTTGCCTAAGTTAATAGTTATTGCTATATTGGTACAGTTGCAGCTTTCTTCTGTACTATTTTTATGAGAAGAAAGTCAGCAGAACCACTTTAGGAAATTTAGTAGTAATACACATTTTGTGCAGAAGCACCTTAAAAGTTTAAACAAAAATTCATTGGAATAGCTCTTGGTTATCTTGTATGGTTTTTCTGTGGTAGCATAGTGTTTATAGAAATGAATGAATTATTCATGTTCAGAAAAATTGCTAATGCATTGAAATTACTTTTGTATGTATGATTCTTTTTTTCATTCTGAGTTAACCATGAGCAAAGTTTGTTTTGTAGAGGTTATGCCTGTAACTATATTAGGGTGCAACTGCAAGGTTTTTCCCCCTGTAAATTATTGTTTGTTGATTAATTGCAGAATGTTTGGCAGTCCAGGCCTGCAGAAACTAAGTGTGATTTACAGCCAATCTGGAAACAGCCAGCAAAACAACCAAATACAACATGGAAGACAGGTGAACTTCCTGAGAACTGAAGTATGTTAGATTTCTAAAAACTTTTTGATTAATTAACATGGTTAAAATTAATCTTTGTGCAGTAGGATTTTTCATTCACTGCCAGGGAGAGAAAAAAATTACTCTAAGAATATCTGGAATTCAGAATGTTTTAAATCAATGATAGTTGATTAATAGCTAAATAACCAATTAGCTCTTGAAGATAGTCTGTTATTAAACCTCTCATTTAACTTTTTACAAGCCCGGTACAACTCCATTGTTTGTTAGTTTTATTACCAAATCCTACAACAATCTGGAAAGTGGATATTTTCTATCTTTCAAATATAATCAATATTCTTTTAAGCAGATGTCAAAATTCCTGAAGGAATCCCTGCATTGATTTCTTGGATGTGTTACAAGATAGACGATTTCAGATACGCCTGTTTAAGCCCTCACATTTAAATCTATGTAAAATGAGTGCATGTTTTAAACATCTGGATCTTCCTTCTGGGACACTAACGTATGCAGTACTAGTAAGCAAGATGCCTTTCAAGGATGTTTGTCGTTAACTTGTTTTCTCACTAGGTAACAGAGGAGCAAGCACAGACTTTTCCAAAATAGAAAACTTATTTTTTTGGGTTATTATCCAGTGTAGGGATATAAATTATTGATATTTTCATTGTTCATGAATTATGTTGACTTTTTTTTACTTATTTTGTAAAATGGAACACCAAATTATTCCAGAAGGCTGTAAAATGTAAAATAGACTTGAACACTGGGCGCTATTTAACAAAATGAAATTCAGTGGTGAAAAAAGTAAGGTTCTACATTTAGGCAAGAAAAACCAAATGTACAGGTATAGTATAGGGGGTACCTTGCTCAATAGTAGTAACTGTGAGAGGGACCTCGGAGTCCTAGTGGACAATCACTTAAATATCAGACAGCAGTGTGCTGCAGCTGCCAGAAAGGCCAATACTATGCTGGGCTGTATTAACAGAGGGATAGAATCAAGATCACGTGAAGTATTAATACCACTTTACAATGCCTTGGTAAGGCCATACTCGGAATACTGCATCCAGTTTTGGTCACCATGTACTCTAGAAAGAGTACAGAGAAGAGCAACAAAGATGATTAGGGGACTGGAGGTTAAAACATAAGGAATGGTTGCTGGAATTGGGTATGTCTAGTTTAACGAAGAGAAGGACGAGGGGGGACATGATAGCACATGTCACAAAGAAGAGGGAGAAGCTATTTTCCAAAGTGCCTGAAGGCAGGACAAGAAGCAATGGGTGGAAACTAATCAAGGAGAGAAGACGCCTAGAACTAAGGAGAAACTTCCTGACAGTGAGAACAATCAACCAGTGGAACAACCTGCCTCCAGAAGCGGTGAATGCTCCAACACTGGAAGTTTTTAAGAAGAGACTGGACAGCCATTTGTCCGAAATGGTATAGGGTTTCCTGCCTGAGCAGGGGTTTGGACTAGATGACCTCCAAGGTCCCTTCCAACTTTATTATTATTATTATTATGGATCATCGCACAGTCAGCCAGATGTTCAGACTGGATTTGGCATTTTGTCTACCTATCGAGTCCTTACCCAGGACCTGGGGTAGGCAGATGTGGATGTTTGATGGTATTACAGGTATCGTCGCAGGATGGAAGCAGTTCCTAGCAAGGCCGCCTTTTGCAACTGACTAATGGCGAATTGGTCAATGCCGATGGTGTTCAAGTGATGCTCCAGTTGTTTTGGGATTGCACCCAAGGAGCCTATGACTATTGGTACTACCCTTGCTTGCTTTTGCCACAGTCTTTCTATTTCTCTTTGTAGGTCTTTGTATTTTGTTATCTTCTCCAGTTCTTTCTCGTCTATTCTGCTGTCTCCAGGCACTGCCACGTGCACTATCCAGACTTTTTTGTCTTTCTTATCGACAGTTGTTAAGTCTGGGGTGTTACGTTGCAGGTGCTTGTCTGTTTGAATTCTGAATTCTGAATTATTATTATTATTATTACTATTATATTTTAATTAAACTTTTATGAATTGAAGCTTTCATTTTTAAAATAAATTTCTAATTCTCACTGTGAAATAGATGAACAAGCTTTCTGCTATATTTCTGCCAGGGAGTAAAGAAGTTTAAAATGATTTGTTCATGATACTTGGCCTATATGAATGCAAAAAGAGACTGTCAAATACAGGTTAATAATTTTGGGGGGTTACTCATTTCAAGTATTTTTATTTTTCTCTCTTCCTTATAGGTGAAAGTTGACATAGTTTCTATGAAACTATAAATGATATTTTGGCATCTTGATTGCCATGACACCCAGCACAGGCTTGTGTGGAGAATGTGGGAAGCGTTCCCTTAAAAAATTGCTGACACCCATGGCTAGGTAAGGCTTAAGCAGGAATATGATGATTTGTCTGAAATCCTGTCCTTAAGGGATGATAAAAATGTTTTTTGTTTGTAATTCTAGTACAGCAGACAATAATTGTCCCATATTGTAGGTTTTTGGTAGTGTGAATTTGAAGACATTGGTCTTATCATGTTTTCCTTAGTGCTGCCTGAACATGATCTAACATCACTTTGAAAATTATTATACTAGTTTACTGGTCTGGGATCATAAATAAAGAAATCAAACCACTGTGTTATACCTGTAACATCAAGTCACTCTCCATACTCTTGGCACAGGACACTCTCGGCAATCTCTCACTGGAGCACAAATATCACTTTAAAAAGTTGCTGACAGATGATACAGTATATAACTGCCTCCATGCACCTATTTCCTATTAAATCTGAAGCACTGCACAAATGTGTGGTGTATACCTTTGCCTTTTTTTCTCCATCTCCCATTAGGTTTTTGAAACATTGAAAATATTTTGTTAGAAAGATGTGGTTTATATTTTGGTCTTCAGTATTCTGATTTTCCTTAAATTCCAGGGTTTGCCTGTTGTTTTGACACCATGGGAACGTGCTGCAGTAGCCCATGCCGAGACAGGGTTCCAGATAACCACCCTACCAAGTTTAAAGTAAGTTATGTTTTTTGTCTTTTATAATGTGTTCTTCTACTAATATTGATCGCTGTGAATTAACTCAAATAAAATTTCATCTTAAGACTGAAGTCGGATTGAGGAACTCCTTTTTACGAATTCCCCCCCCCCCATTCTTCTTGGTGCTTTCTTCAGTTAAGTATTACTGCCTTTAGCTGAGAAAGTTTATCTTCTCTGTATATTTCAAGGAATTCTGTCTCTCAATAAAATAACTAAATTTTGTCCTCCCTCTTTGTTTAACATTCAATCTGAAGATTTGAAATATTGACAATTTTCTGACCTTTTGTGCATGGTTGGTAAAGGATTGCACGACTGTGAATTTGAAAATTCTTTCGAGGTGAATCCTTTAACTTGGGTCAATTAGTTGATGATTGGTACTAGACAGTAATATTATGCAGGGAATCTTAGATGGCATTCCCAAAGTAGAAGCACTGTGGTTAAATGCATTGTTAGTATTACTATATGCTTAAGGCTAAGAAAACACTCCTCAGATCACCAGAGGGAGCAATTTCCTGAGTAGCTGAGGTCTTGTTGATGGGCTAGCATTGAATCTAGGAGGTGTACCTGCCTGAAATATTTTTCTGGTAAGGAAGTATTCCTCTTATGCAATGTTTCTCAATCTTGGCTCTTTAGGATGTGTGAACTTCCATTGATTGGAGAAATCTGGGAGCTGAAGTCTATACATCTTAAAATTGCCAAGGCTGAGAAACATTGCTCTAAAGCAGTGGTTCTCAACCTTCCTAATGCCACTACCCTTTAATACAGTTCCTCGTGTTGTGGTGACCCCCAACCCCCCATCCAGCTGGCCGGGGAGGGGGACAGGAAGGCCGCTCCGCCCAGCCTGGTTGGAGAAGCGCCATTCATCTCCCTTTTTCTCTCTTTCTCTCTCTCTTTCCTCCCTCTTTCTCTTTCTCTCTTTCCTCTTTTCCTGTTTCTCTTTCCTCTCTCTCTTTCTCTTTCCTCTTTCTCTCTTCCCTCTTTCTCTTTCTTCTCTCTCTCCCTCTTTCCTCTCTCTCCCTCTTTCCTCTTTTTCTCTTTCCTCTTCCCGTTTCTCTCTTTCTTCTCTCTCTCTATTTCTCTCTTTCCTCTCTTTCTCTTTCCTCTCTTTCTTTCTCTCTCTTTCTCTGTTTCCTCCCTTTCTCTTTTTCTCTTTCCTCTCTCTCTTTCTCTCTTTCCTCTCTCTCTTTCTCTCTCTCTCTTACAGCAGCATCGTCGGGGGTCCCCGCTGCCCCTGGCCTGGCCGCGGCTCCCGCCGGGACTCCATGCTGCCCGGCCTTGTCCTCCATCCATCGATGGAGCCACGGTGGGGGCTGGAGCTGCGCGGCCTGCCAGCCCCTCCGCCAGCCTGGCTGCTCCCCCCAGGCACCCCTCTTCTTCCTGGTGCCTGCCCGAGCCACCTTGTGGGCAGCAGGAGGAAGAAGGAGAGAGGGCGAGAAAACTTCCGCTGCCCGAGCCGGGTCTCCGCGCTGCCTGGCCTCGCCCTCCGCCCATCCGATGGAGCCGCGGTGGAGGCTAGTGCTGCGCGGCCTGCCAGCCCCTCCGCCAGCCCGGCTGCTCCCCCCAGGCACCCCTCTGTCCCGGCGTCTGCCCGAGCGACCTTGGGGGCAGCAGGAGGAAGGAGAGGAGAGGGGCAAGAAAACCGCCGCTGTCCCAGCTGAGACTCCACGCTGTCCGGCCTCGCCCTCCGCCCATCCAATGGAGTCGCGCTGGGGGCTGGTGCCGTGTGGCTCCTGTCAGCCCCTCTGCCAGCCCGGCTGCTCCCCCCCCCAGGCACCTCTTTTGCCCTGGAGCCCGCCCAAGCTGCCTTGGGGGCAGCAGGAGGAAGAATGGGGAAGGAAGCTGCCGCCAGCGCTGGGCCCTAGGAGGCGGCTCTCCTCTCCTAAATTTGCTGAATCTCCTTCTTCCTTCCCAGCAGCCTGGACTCCGGCGCGTCTTCCTGGCCAGCGGGTCCAATGGTTGGGCTGGCTGGGGATCGCAGGGGCTGGTCTCCCTTGGGTTGCGGCTTGCGGGAGGGCTGGCCCGCTCAGAGGAGCCTCCAATGGGCCACTTCCAGCAGGTATCCCGGGCTTCCCCGGGTGGCTCCAAGGCCACGAGGCCCTGGCTGCGCTTCTCCCAGGGGGTGGGGCACCCAGGCGCAGGGCCAATCAGGAGGAGGCTATGCGGAGATGGATGTGGAGCGGTGTCTCGGTTCCTAAGACCATCGGAAATATGTGTTTTCCGATGGTCTTAGGTGACCCCTGTGAAAGGGTCGTTCGATCCCCAAAAGGGTCGCGACCCACAGGTTGAGAACCGCTGCTCTAAAGCATTTTACCATTGAATAAGAAAAAAATGACTGCCTTACAGAAATGAGGTTGGGCTGGTATACTTTCCTCAATAGCTACACTACTAGTTTATAACCTCACTGTGTCTATTTATATGGTTTTTAGTAACTGCTGACAACTGGCTTTGGTTTCTACAGGTGACAAATGTTGATGATGAGGGCAATGAGCTGGGCTCAGGGATAATGGAATTGACCCAGAGGGAGCTTGTTTTGCACACTCATAAACGCGATGCTGTTCGGTGGCCCTACCTTTGCTTGCGTCGCTATGGCTATGATTCCAATCTCTTCTCCTTTGAAAGTGGACGTCGCTGCCTGACTGGACAGGGTATGTATAGCAGGAGAGCTGTTAACCTGGGATAACATCTACTTTGTCTCCTCATAGGATGTTATAAATCTGGTTCAGAAATAGAAACAAAACTACTAATATGACGCATAAGGAAATTCACATTTTTGTTTTCAGATAAGTATTAATGAGAGAACATTTTTTAAAGCCTATTTAGTCCAGTATTCTGCTTCATCAAGGCCAACCATATATAAATGAATAGTCTAAATATCTAGTATTCAGGTTTCTAACGCCTCTCATATTAACAGCATTGAAGGGAATGTTCTGGCCTATACTCTCTGATAGTCTTTTAAATCCATATGTGTATGGTGAGATGTCCAAGGTTGGGAATAACTCTGAGATCATTTAAATCTTTGTTACATTAAGAATAGTTAGACTATATTAAAAATAGTAACATTTTTAAAAACAGAATTATATCTTATCCAAATTAAAATTCCAATCTAAATCTAGCAGTGTTGGAATTAATAAAAATGGCATAATGTTATAAGAGAAAGTTGATGCCATATCCTTTCACAAGATGCAGTAGTACCTAAATTTAATAACAAAATAAACAAGAAAATATAAAATTATCTTGCTATATCAGCTCAGAGGTCTGTCTAATACTTTATGTCCATCAGTAGCCAGACTATGTTTCTCAGAAACCAGATAGCTATTTACAAATCATTAGGATCTGTCTTTCAGAGCCATAGCACTTCAGACTCTGAGGACCCAGTTGTATAGTTCTTTATGAGACCCCTACCTACTATTGATAATCCCTTGTCTTCATAGTGATAAACTTTATAAATGCATTATATTTATGCTGAATCTTTTGAAATCAGGCCTAACTTTTAAATAATTATGAATAAAATCTGTGATGCTCAGGCTGTTATGCAGTTCTTTTTTTTTTCTCTGCACCTAAGAGGAGAAGAATGAAAGCTTTCACTTTTATTTCGGAATAAACCAAAGTTTTAGGTTTTTATTTAAATCAAAATGTATTAAATCCTGACCTGGAAACAATACCACAAGACATCATAATCTTGTATTATTTTCAAAAGCTGTAACACAGGGGTCTCCAACCTTGGAACTTTAAGACTTGTGGACTTCAACTCCCAGAATTCCTCAGAAAGCCAAGCTGGCTGGTCTCATGAGGAAACTGCCACATGTCACCTCAGGAAGAAAGCCTTGCGTGGCCAGCAGTTGCCTTGCAGAGCTGTGGAATTCTGGGGCCCAAAGAGCAAAGATGGGGAAGTAGGCAGGGGAAGAAGTGGAAGAGTCTCTGTGATTGTAAGTGTGGGCAGGCTATCAAGTGACTGATTTTGATTGTGTGACCTCAGGGATGCTACTGCAGCCATATTTTCAGGGACCAGATGTAAATACCATTTGTTCAACGCTACTGTAACTTCATGGTTGTTGAATATATGATCATAAGTTGAGAACTACCTATAATGTTATATTTTGACTTTGGTAGGAATATTACCTAGCTGGCTGCCTATTTATAACCTATGGTTTGTTCACCACTGGCATTAGTTTGTGCCAGGAGTGTGATCTTTATGTTACAGATGAAATAGTAAAAAAATCCAAAAAGTCTTGGGTCAAAGCAGTGTGGATAAAAAAAAAGGGAAGATTTGGTATTCAGTGGTTGTAAGATTCATTATTTCCCTTGCATTATATGAATATTCTTTGATTCTTTTCACATTTCTTTCTTTCATCGTTGGATTTTAAAGCTTATTTCACTTGAATGATCATTCTGATCAGGAAGATAAGACAGAAAATGTGTAGGATCTACTGATGTGTGTGCCTCTCTCTCTCTCTCTCTCTCTCTCTCTCTCTCTCTCTGTGTGTGTTTTAGAATATTTTTATTCAGAATTGCAGCTGTTGTTGCCATGTTCTTGTCCTTGTTGCTATGGGTTTTTGGTTCATGTCTGTGCATGCCGGAATCTGATTGGTTAGTTCAGAATAGAGAGACAATTGATAAAAGTATTTATGGGTGGTGGGCAGGTGTTGCAGTTTAATACAAAAGCGAGTTACTGTGCTTCCCAAATGTGTGCCAGTACAATCCTGTTAATCGGTGAATCAATGAAAAGATTTCAGTGATTTGCAAAAAAGGTTCTAATCTCAAAATTGAGCTGGCAAACATAGATGGAAATAGCTTGTTAGATTCTTTGTGCAGGCTCATGGTGCTACAGGCTTACTTTGCTCAAGTAAGATACAGATAAATAACGTTTTCCTCAAATTTCTCATGGGCAGCACAGTTGAAAATTTACCAAGTAATATTGGTAACAATAATAGTAACTTTGTTCTTTTTCTTTTTCCTTTCCAATTCTGTTTCTTACTTTCACTGAAATATGGAAAATGCAAGTGAATAACAGTATGAATGGAACTGTAGAGAAAATTCAATTTCAGTTCTTTCTCTTTATAATTATTTCAAAACACCATAACAATAAGCAGCAATTTAAATGTACTATTTCATAGCTGGAGGTTCTAAGTTATGTTCTGACTATAACTGTTCATGCTATGTGTATTTATACAACCTGGGTACATTGAAATGTATTCAAATTATAAAACACTTTTATTCTTGGCCAGAATGTTACACAAGTGAAACCATAATTCCATTTTATGTATATCCCAATGGCTGAGAGTAGCTGCCAGACTGAGAGACTGCCATACCAAATATCTGTGTTTTGAATTTGTCCTAAATAATTTGAGCCCAGGATGCTTCAGAGATCATGGTTTCTTCTCCCCAGCTTCATGCACTTGTAATTTCAGAAGTGCTGAAGCTCCTCTCTAAAGAGGCAACCTTTCTTCTATCATTTAAATAAGTATATAATGAAAATGTAACCTTTTGATTCATTTTTTGCTGCTTCCCTTATTAGTAATTTAATTAGTATAACTAATTATACAATTAGTATTTAATCAGTATAGTAATATTTATAATTTTGAAGACATGTCCTCTTGTCAAAAGATATAAATTAAGTTGGTAAATAGTCAACGTATTTCTAAAGAGATCCTAAATTAAGGTGTAATCTCAGGACCAGACCTTTAGTTTCAGTATACACATTAAATCTTAATCCTATCTTTTTGATTTGTCCAAATGTCTATACAATATGTTGCTTTCACTGTATTTAGTAATTTGCTGATGTTTAGAGGTATGTAGCTGGAGTTTCACAGAGTAATGGTGCAATTTGTTAGCATTGCTTTATGTTTATCTGATATGCATTTCTTGTTTTAGAGAGTGTGAACATACTAGTATTAAAATAGACTTTCTCTTCTTCACCTAGGAATTTTTGCATTCAAGTGCTCAAGAGCTGAAGAGATATTTAATTTGCTGCAGGATCTGATGCAGTGTAATAGTATCAGTGTGGTGGAGGAACCTGTTGTCATTACAAGGAATGCAGCTGAACTGGAACTACCCCGGACTCCCCAGACACCCGATAGTGAGACCCTCTTACAAATCGGAAGAAATAGGGGAATGAGGCCTATGTTAGCGTTTACTCTAGAGCAGGGGTGCCAAACTGCCAGCCCTCGGGCCAAATGCATCACACCAAAACCGCACCCACCCGATTGCCGGCAATGGGGAAAAAATTGCGATCCATCGCGACATGTCACGTGACATCGCGAGTTTGACACCCATGCTTCTTGGTATCACAAAGGTGCTTTTTTCTTCAAAAGGCAACTGGACTGTTTTTTCCTTGAGGAAGAAGAAGAAAAACCTTTTGCTTCTCATCATGGAAGAAACCTTATCAGTTCTCATGGGGGGGGAGGGAAGGATAGGTGGGCGGATGGAAGGATAAGTTCTGATAGGGTGGTGGGGGAGGGGATGGAAGGGTTGTATTTCTTTGCAGTCATCTGGTCATTAGAACTCTCAGAGAGCTTTGGATACCATGTGAAACCCTCAGAGTTGCCTAAATCAGGGTGCAATTGGTTCTGGAACTTTCCATACTCCTGGCATCAGAACTGATGAAGCTTCTTGGATGAAAAGCAAACCATATTCCTCAAGGAAAAAACAGTCCAGTTGCCTTTTTTTTGGGGGGGGGAGCACTTTTTTTGGGGGGGAGCATAATTATGAGCTGGATAACTGAGAATCTCCACAGACATTTCTTCTTGGTCAGAATATTTTGTTTTGATAGGAATTTGAATATTTGTATGGGGTGAAACCATTCTTTAAGCATGTGCCAAACATTTATACCCTACTTTATACAAAAAGTTACAAGAATTTGGCCCTCTTTTGAGTCTGTTGCATTGCTCATTCTTTCCATTGCAAACTCACGGTTGAAGCCATAATGTCAATCCACTTTTATAATGCATTTGTAATCTATTTATAGTATTGGGCATGTCTAATTTATGCAAGAGAGTAATTGCCTTGTTTCCATATACATTTTCTCTGAACTGGGGCTACTTTAGGGCTCAGCACATTTGCAACAGTTGTACTAACCTGTTTCGTCTTCAGATATTGTTAATTACTTATTCATCTGGTCTCATAAAATCAAGTCTACTCTTCATGTCTTTAACTGATTGTAAAGTTTTAAGTTTTATGTGAGCTTGTTGCTTTATTTCTAAGGCAACCAAACACAATTATCAGATATGTTTAAGTTTCCAGTAAAATATCACCAAAACTACTATGGAAAGTATACATGAGAAGTAGGAAGATTATTATTTGATTTGGTTATTTTGACCTTTACTTTATTTTGCACTTAGATTTGAGGTAGGTATCTTAACCTAGTTTTTATAAGTGTTGTTCTGTCTCATTACAGTAGAGAACTTCATCATACAATCTGAGTTCATTGGCCTATTAACAAAGTATTGGGGGTATTTTTGGTAAATGTGTATATAGTTTTGTGTAAAGCTAATTGTGCTCCCATTTCTTCATTTTTGAATATATAGTCCCAGGTTTTCCTAATGGGTTCCACAACTTCCCTATGGAGCCCTCATCTTGTCCTGCAGCCTGCCATGCCCCCATGAGTAGTCTAAGGCATTCTTCCCTTGGGGAGGACGCTACGCATGCTCTTATTATCCCTGATGGGCAAGTGAGTATTGCATATGAAATAGAACACTGCACCTATTAATACTAACTGTGCCAATTAATTTTAACTATGCCAGTTAATGTTGTTATAGGAAAATAGGCACCTGTTCTTTTTCACTTATGCAGCGCTAAGTTTCTAAGTATTTTCAGGAAAAGTTGCTTATTGAGAAGATATATTTGTAGTTATCAAAAAGGCATAATAATAATACCTTCTCATTGCACAAGGTATTAATCATTTTACCTCCATCCACTCTCAAATAAAGGCTAGGATGGGTTTTTCATAACTGTGTACATGATTTTCTTGATTAAACAAGAATTGTGGTATTGTCTTTTCTTTTTCTGCAAAACGGTAGTCCTTGTCTTTAGACCACAATTGAGCCCCAAACTTCCATTGCTAAGTGAGACAGTTATTAAGTGAATTTTGCCCCATTTTATAACCTTTCTTGGCATGGTTTTAAAGTCAGTCACTGAAATTATTAAGTTATGAACACAGCTGCTAAGTAAATCTGGAATCCCCATTGACTATGCTTGTCAAAAGGTCACAAAAGTGATCACATGATCCTAGGACACATGCCAGTTGCCCAGCATCTGAATTTTGATCATGTGACCACCGGGATGCTGCAACAGTTGTAAGTGTGAAAAACTGTCATAAATCACTTCAGTGCTGTTGTAACATTGAATGGTCACTAAATAAATGGTTTTAAGTCAAGGCCTACTTGTACTAGATTTGATTAGGTAACATAATATCATGTGATAGGACAGATGTGATTTGATACTGATAAGGATTTTTAAAAATTATTTCCAGTCAGGGAACATGTTTAGAATTATTAATAACAGAATTCAAGGTTAAGATAGGACTACATTTCTTTTTAATATTGTTACTGTTAAAGATCATCCTGTTTATGCATTTTAAAATGCTGTATAGTACTTATTAATTTTGTGATTTATAATAAATAATGAAGGATTTCTAGACAGCATTTATTCTCAGCACCTGCTAATCTTTCCTTCCTTCCTTCCTTCCTTCCTTCCTTCCTTCCTTCCTTCCTTCCTTCCTTCCTTCCTTTCTTTCCAGTCCCACACCTATGTAAACACAGCCAGTGGGGAAGATGATATAAGGGGCCACCATTGTATGCACTCCTTACCTGAAGTTCATCCTCCGATTGCTCATTCCAACCATAGCTGCTCCCTGGAGGACCGGAATCCCCAGGTTTACATTCAGCCAGGAGAAGTGAAGTTTGTTTTGGGCCCGAACCTGGGTTATAGGCACAGGATGAAATGTGATGGCTACTGTCGACCCCACTGGGAGTGCTCAAGGCATTTCTGCACTCCTCACAACAACAACAACAACGATTACAAAGACGAGTGCCTCGCCCCCAAGTGTGTTTATGAAAACCTCAATGGTCTGCTGCCTTCTCGAGGAACCTTATTTCGTCAGGGGAGCGGGCGCTTGAAAATGCCCTGTGAGGACCTGAACCCTGCCAGTTGCTCCCATCGCCGGACCGCCCTACTGCACTATGAGAACTTGCCATCATTGCCTCCTGTGTGGGAGTGCCAGCCCCTAAGACAGGGCCAGGATGAAGAGGATTCTGGTGATGCAATGACACCTTCCTCCACTGGTTATCCAGAAATTGAAGAAGATGACACTTTACGAAATTACATGAATTCAGAAAGGGTTGCCCTACATGGAGGCATGCGTAGAGGAGGTTGCTTGCAGCGGCACCGCAGTTGTACCCCCAGCGTTTTCAATTTCGACTTCTGCCGGCCTTATTTGGAGCAGCCAAGGCAGCTCAATTATATCCAGGTGGAACTGCAAGATGATCCTTGTAAAGGGCGGCAAAACATACCAGTCCCCCACGTCCCATGTGCGGCTGCCCATCCAGCCCACAGGACCAATTCCTATGCGGTCATTGACCATAAAAAGACAGCAGCCATGTCCAGCTTACAGAGAGCACTGCCTAAGGATGATGGGACTTCCAGGAAAACACGACATAACAGCACTGACCTGCCTCTGTAAGAAGAACATTCAACCCAAGCACCTCATTGTGGCTTTTGTATCTGCTCTTCAACAAATCATGTTACATAACTGCCATTTTCCCATTGTGCCCCCTGTTAGTGTGAGTCACTGGAATAGTTTCATCAAGCTAAGTTAAGAAATGTAGCCTATCTGTGCCTCTTCCGAGCCTCATTTTCCTCTGCCATATACTTTCTGAAGCCCTGCCATGTGCTTGATTACTTGACCTGGCTGATGGCAGGGTGGGTAATGGTACAGTTGGAGTGTGAAGGCCAAGGAAACTTTATTTAATTTTTATTTTTGAAAATACACAAAATATATTTATTTTCAAATTTTGCATTAACTTATTTTTCAGAGATGCTGGTATTTGTTTATCTATTTATTTATCCATGTTAAAGTGCCCAGCAAGTATAACACTGAATTGCTTTGCAATTAATTCTTTTCACCATGAGAATCAGAAAAGCTCTAAGAAGGTAAGAGTTGTATCATTTTTTAAACAAATATAAGGCTAGTCGCCAAAAGGCAGAACAGAGGAGGAGATTCAGACTGTCAGAGAAAGTAAGGCATGCAAGAAAGGGTTCTAAACCCATGTGGTCCCAGGAGTGACTCAACATGCTAACAAAGCTGAACTTCCCAGCTCCAATTTCTGACTGATGGTATATCTCATAATATGCCTCTTCACCCTCAGAGTAGAAAAAAACCATAGAACTGTAAATTTCCCTAAACTAATCCTTGGTGGATGTTTTAAACTGTTGCTGTTTACCTAACAGTTTGGGATAGTCTCTAAGAAGGTAATATTCTGATGTTATGGTATTAGTTTGCTGGAATCACATAAAAACTTCAAACACATTTCAAAAGCTTTTCTTCCTCCATTTTACTTTATTGTCTCACATCCAATGCTCTAATATTGTCCCAGACATACTTTAATATGTCAATGAAATTCAGCCATTATTAACAAATAATTGATTTTGGGTGGTGGGGAACCAGAACATTTTGAGCAACTTTAAGGACAAGCAAAGCTTTCCTTATTTGGGACTTTCACATTTTTGTTAGGTTAGTAATAAACCTGCAATATGGATTATACATTTGATGGCCATTATTTATTTATACGGCCTTCTCAGAAATAGCCCTTCCAGGAATAATTGTATTTGAACTAAACTTCAGTCAGTTTTTTCTGAAAATCTTGTTTCACTGAAGTCATTTTTAAAATTCACTGTATGTGAAACAAGCATTATAAAGTTGGGGATTAGGAATCCTTTCGGTAGAAAGTTATTACTTTCCATTCCTTTTCAAATCTATTAAGAACTGTCCTTATTTAACACAGTTTTTCAATATGCTTTTTGTTATTTATTGATTTTTGGAAAATATAATGTTTATCTGTTTTGTTTTGTTTTAAATTTTTCATGTAATTCCATGTCAAGGAGTCCAAATTAATACTAGTATTTCAAGTCATAAGCTCAGCTAAACCAATTTAAGTATTCATAATTTGGATAAAAATTAATTCTAACCTTTGCATATGGATCCACATCATTAAAAGCTTAAAAACTGCTTGAAATTATATTTTTAAAAACTAGATTTAAAGTAGTTTTTCTTAAATCTTTTTATTGTAAAATGTTATTCTGACTTGTCTGTTAATTATTGCTCACCATATTGTCATGAAACACATGCTTTGCATGTAGAATATCCCAGATTTAAGCAGGAGTAAGAATTTCCCTTCTGAAATATTGGAGAAGTATTACCTATTAACATAGATGATAGTGACTTAAATGATGAGTAACTTGCTCCAGCATGTCCTTTATCTGTTCCTCTGCAGTTCTACTGTAGACCCATAACTAAAGGAGAGTAAAAATGCATTAAATGAACAAGAGAAGAAATGCTTGGATAGAGAATTAATCTTGCTTCAATTACATATATTTCAGTCACAGAGGAGTTTATCAATTAATGCATTTAGATTTAGGACTGATTGTTATATGACAACTGTACATAAAAGGTGATCTGGAAGGTTTTGAATGTTGCTGCTATTCTATATGATTTCAGTATCTCAAGCAGGTATAAAAATGTCAAATTTCAGCATTTTTTCCTCTTACTTTCACTGTACTCTTATAGATCATGTTCTAAAATTCATAGTTATAAGGGGAAGACAGACAGATTTGGGTAAACATCAAGATCTCTTCACTGTGGCCCATTGTCATATAGTTAAGATTGTTAAGAAGGCATTGATTTGATGAATGATTTTGTATTCTTGCTGTATAAATTGGGTTATTTCTAACCAGTTACTATAAAAAATCATTTTGCTTATTCAGCACTGCCTTTTTAACTGTTATGCATAATATGTTGTAATTTACTAGTAAATGTTAAAATTAGGTGGTCTTTTTACGACCATCCGCCTTTGTGGTTTTCCAATGTCTAATCAAAATCTATTAGAGTTAATAGAAGAGTTTCTCTGTCCTCTATTTGTACTTTGGATCAACTCAGTCCAAATACATCATCATCAGATTTTTATTCTGCAATTTTTATAAATAATTTAAGGTGGTGAACTGATGCTCCTGGCTTCTAATTTTCCCCACAACGTGTGAGGTGGATTGGGCTGAGAAGGGAGTAAATGGCCCAAAATCACCCAGCTGGCAATTCATGCCTAAAGGAAGACTAGATTTCTATTTTCTAGCCCAGTACCTTAACCACTACACCAGACTTGCTCTTGAGCCAGTGTGGGGAATTTCAATAGGCAGAATTCTTCTAGTATCGTCATATGCCTTGTCATCAGTTTTACTTCACAAGTCCACATCTTGTTCATTCTAAAACATCAAATGTAGGCTTCTATATACTGGTGATGGGCAGGCTGGAGTCCAAAGGACTTGAGCAGCTTTTTGCCACCACTCGGTATTAATCACAAATCTATGTATAGGTAGTCTATTGATCTATCTTAAACATTCATTTAAGATGGAAAAAAAATCTTTATTTTTTAGGTATAATGGAACTTAAAGGGTAATTAATTAACATTGATTAGAAAGAAGGATGTGGGATAAAATAGGGAACTCTCCTTTTCAAGGATTATGTTTACTCTGAGAGACTTATTTATTAAAAAGGAAGGACTTAGAATACTTTCTGGCTGCTGTTGTCTCAGAGTCAAGACAGCTAAAATTTATGCTTTGTACCCTGATGCCCTAGAAGTAAAGTTTAGTTTCAAGTGATAAGAAATGTGTTTACCATGGTACAATTAAATCAGTGCCAAAAATAAGTGTTTTATCTAATTGAGCCACTATATGGTTTCATTGTTTGACTTTGGCTTAGTGTTTGGATATAGCCATTTTGGTTTTTTAAATTAGGTTTATGGCTTAGTGTACTCTATGAATTCAACCAGTTTCAGCTTAATTACTTAGCCATATTTAAACAAACTAACTTATTGTGTTATGTGAATCTATCCATTGAATTAGATGCGATGAAAATGTGAAGCTGGTTGCCTGCTAATGTCTTTCTGCAGTTTACATCCATTCCTCATTTAACCGCTAAACAGCTTAAATGCACTATACTTTGTTTTATTATTATTTATTACTGGTATTTTTCAGAGTCCTTTAAGGAGCATTTTCTAATGTGCCAAGAATGGTGCTTTTGCCAAGATTTTGTAAAGGTTAGAAAGGTTCCAACTAGTAGAGATTCTTAATAGGCAGATGAAAAGCAGAAATGCAGTTGGTGTCAGACTGATGCTACCATCAACTTTCAGGGAAACAGGCTTATTGAATTGGTCCCCTGCAAGCACCTGTTGGATCTTTTTGGTTTCTAATGATGTTTGGGTAGTAGGCAGCTAGCTCTGTGAGGCATTTGTTCAGATCTCTCTAATGGTAGTAACCATTTTTATTAATAATTTTGGTAATAGTATTTGTTTTAATAGCTTGGAGTTTTTTGAGTATTTTATAGATGTTTTATTGTGTTGTAAGCTGCCTAGAATTGTAAGAACAGACAGCATACTAATAGTGGCAAATAAATAATCGTTCAGCAATCCAGTGTCTCCTTTACAGGTGGTGCTTGCGCTGTTTCTTCATCGGCTCTGCACCCACACGATCCCACCTTGTCATTACTTGGGGAAACAGAGCTGATAAATTCCGGGCTCAGTAGTAGGGCAGGAGGAAGTGCTGTAGATGCTGAGACTGAAATGGTAGAGCTGAGAGGTGGGAATTCTTCCTTTAGTGAGAATTCTTGCCTAATCCTGGTTCCTGAATTCTCCATTCTCCCTGAGTTAAGGAAGTATGGTACTACAATGCCTTTTTATTGGTCTTAAAATACATAAAGAGGCAGTTTTGTAGCCCTCCTTGTAGCTGATCTTATTGTTGTATGTCAATAGAAACAGTGTAAAGTTTGAGTGAGGGGGTAAATGCATTGTTTGGCTACATTTTTTTTTTTTTGCACTCTCCTATTGGGCATATGAACACCATTACCAGAAGGCTGGCAGTAAATTTGCGGGACACTGAATTCCTTGGGTGAGGCTAGTGTACAGAAACAATTTCTGATATTCTAAATGGAAGTTAGCTCTTATTCTCACTTGCTATGTGTGTAACGTTACATTTAATACTGACCATGCAAGCAAAAGTGAAAATGTAACCTTTCTGGCAATAGTCACAAGCCTCATAAAGTTGGAGAGTTGATAAACATGATGCTTTCCTATTTCTGAATACATAGTGCTCAGCACTCCATAGAGTTATTTATCTGCTTTTAAAAGTGCAATTGGAAAGGATAATTCAACAAGTTCCATAATAAATTGCTATTCAAATAATCACCACATCCAAATAATCACCTCATCCAAACTAAGTTGGACGCCACTTTTTTTCCGTCATGAAAACTCCAAGCCAGTGCAATAAAAAATCTAGCACATTTCTAAGCATAGCTCTGCAGTAATGCAGAAATTGCCTGTTATTGCAGTAGCTAGTAGCTACATATTGAGCCTTTCTGGAGAAAAAAATTACATGTCAACTTAAACTAGACCCATGTTTCATTATATCCTTAACATTTCCATGGTAGTCATCTTTTAGGATCAGCACATTAAATATAGTTTGTGTTCAAGGGACTGTTGTAGCCTAATTTTCTTCAAGCTTCAGTATCAAAATAAGAGTATTCAGCTGTCTTGGATAGCTAAAGTAAAATAGAACAGTATGTACTTCAGTGCCCCTTTTAAAGATGTTGCCAATGAGTATGTCTATTTATGGCTATACTGCATCCAGCAGCTTTTAAAGGTTAGAGCAGGTACTGTAAACTCACTGAATGGAATAAGGGTTATACCGATTCATCTGACAAGGGCATTATGAAGATTAAGGTTTGAATATCATAAAGGCCAAGAAATTTTAGTACTGTACTGAATTTTGCACATCAAATGGAATCTCATATTAGTTGGTATTGTGTTTAGTGTGAAACCCAATTCCTCAATTCTTTATCATCTCATAATGGTTATCCACATCTTCTGATTGGTCTCTGGGGAATCTTGTTCTACATAAGATAATAGGTTATAATTTCTTTATGTTTTAATATCTCTTTAAATCTTTCCATAGTTTAAGTCCTTTCATGAGAGTTCATCTTTTCAAACATTTTGGATTCTATAAAAGCATGGAACTGTTGCCTCTTTCCCTAGCGATAGAACAATGTGAGTCTGCCTCCATTTTCCCATTGTTGGAGGTAGGGAAGAGAGAACTCTATAAGTGTAACCAGATTATGATAGTTTTATTTTCTTGGAACTTTCAGTCAGTTTTATGAAACACTTGAAATGTTGCAAATGGTCCTGTTCTTGAATTAATATTAAAAAGCAACCAAACTGGATTCTGGGATTGTGAGACAAGAACTTTCAGTGGGTAGATTTTTTTTTTCTGTAATTCATTTTGAAAAGCCTGGCTTTAGCTAGGTAAATCTCAATTTCTTACCTTGTGCAGTTTTCTTCATAGTTACTTGTACTGATGCATTTGCTAATTGTTTCTGATCTGGCAGAAAAACAAGGCATGGGGATGCTCAGTTGTTCTAGCCATAGAAGTTGCTTTGTGATTTTTATTCAGTGGTTTCTGCTGTATATCTCTGTTAATTCCTATTTGTATCTTATCCTGTGTAGCCTTCAAAGTGAAGAGCATTAGCAGTGCCATGTGACTGAGGAGCACTAATATCTTACATTAATGTGCACAAAGAATGTATCTAAAATAAATTATTTCTGATGCTTATCTTTTGGAAAGTGTGGCTTATTTGGTAACTTGTAAACAAAAAATTTATAATTACCAAGGTAATCTGAACTCTGACAATTTTATTTGCTCAGCATTCCTGGATTTTCTTTATAATATCTATGCATTCTTCAGAATGAAAAAGGTCTTCTGCAGTCACGACATAAGCCTAAGATTGAAAATCAGGCTTATCAGATGTTATATTTTTTCTATCCTGCTGTATGGAGTAGAGAGTTGGTCTCTGACAGAAGGCCACCTGAAGAGACTAGAAGAATTGAAATGTGGAATTACAGACGGCTGTTATGTATAAGCTGGGTTGACAAGATCAGAAATGAGGTTATAAGCCACCTGCGAAAACCAAGGTAAATCATCAAAACAATTAAAAAACGAAAGTTAGAATATTTCGGACATGTGATGCGACACCCAGAAAAATACGGCATATTCCATTTAATCCTCCAGGAAAAGATTGAAGGCAAACGAGGTCCAGGCAGAAGAAGAACATCATGGCTTCAAAATCTAAGGGACTGGTTTGGACAAAACTCAGCAGCACTTTTTTGCGTGGCTCCTGATAAAAACAGAATCGCCAACATGATCGCCATCATCCGATAACGGATATGGCACAAGAAGAAGAAGAATACTAATAGTCAATTTAAGATCCTCCAGATGTCTTGAGCTTCAGCTCTCATAATGTGCAGCTACCATGATTTTGATGGTAATTCTGAGAAATTAAGGTCCCTGGGGAATATCAAGATAAAATCACAGAACACTTTCCAGGCTATAAAGTTGGTGCTTTATTCACTATTCATAAAATAGTGTCGGGGGGGGGGGTCAATAATATAAAAAGTATTCTTAAAGTCAGAAATAGAAACTTCTAATGGGAGATGTTTTTTTCCATACTAAGAAGTGTTAATAATATTCATAGAGAGTGTGGGTTCATTGCAATGAAGGAGACAATGGCTAAACTTTTGTAAAAACCAAAAGTCAGTCTTCTGATTCTGGCAAACTATTATTCAGCGTTGAGCATTTTACTGAAAAAGGTACAGGCCTTTTAACTAGTTAAAGCAATTTGAAATTTTTAGAACCCCATCAAATAATGTGTGAGAATCAACTATCCTGTTATATTATTACAACATTCTAGGCTTGCTTATCTGATGTATGAAGGTGACTATCAAAAATCATGCTACAAAGATATTTTATTTTATTCTGATCAAGGAAAAAAAGGAAGGGAATTTGGCAGAATGTCTCTGAAATTTGAAGTACAACTCTTGTCTCTTCTGATCCCTCTAAATCAGGGGTGTTAAACTGCTGGCCCACAGGCCGGATGCATCACAGCGAAACCGCGTCCACCCCATTGCTGGCAATGGCAAAAAAGTCATGATACATTGCTACACGTCATGTGATGTTGCGAGTTTGACACCCCTGCTCTAAATGGATTCCAGATTTAAACAAAAGAATATTGTGTTCATACATGCATACATTGAGCAACCACTTTACAAAGACTTCGAGGTGGTTAATAATAATAATAATCAAGAAAATAAAGTGCTCTGAGATTTTAGAGTTAAACATGCAAGCTCCTGCCTGGCAACACCTCAGATTTAATTGTTGGTAAGAAAGAAAAGTCTTGATGGTGGACATTGCAGTTCCTGGAGACAGCAAAATAGAAGATAAAGAACCGGAAAAAATCACAAAATAGACCTGCAAATAAAAGTAGAATCACTGTGGCAAAAGAAAGCAAAGATTAGTAACTGGTACCTTGGGTGCAGTTCTAAAACATTGGGAGCACCATTCGAACACCATCAGCATTGATAAAATCACCATTAGTCAATTACAAGAACTTTGCAAGGTCTTCAGGATAATTTGACTTGGGGAGCAAGGTATTTCAAAAGATAGGGTTAACTCCTGATCAAGACGCAAAGCTTCTGAGTCTTAGTTAACAAATCCTGCTCCTTTTGCTGTAGCTTAGGAAAATTGGCTCTGTATGCCCCTATCTCTTTTTAAGTATAGTGGTTTTTTTTTTTTCTCTTTGACACAATCATACAAAGTTTTGATGAACTCTTAAGCACAGTTTAAAAGCCCCTGTTATAGTAGTCCACATGTGCAGTGTCTAGGTCACTGATAAATCTCTATACCTCAGCACCTAAGTCTAGAAAGTTGGACCAACTAGAACGGATGAAAGATACTCCTCCACTTATCCCCTCTACCAGCTGCAGGAGCCATGAGTTCAGGAGGAGGAGTATGTAAGGGGGAGTGCCCAACAGAGAACTAAGATGAATTGGAATAGTAAGAGATTTCTCATCAATGAACAGTAGCTCTGAAGTCTGTAAGAGACTAGATATATTAAAACAAGCTCTGATTAAATCTCTAGACAATTACTTTTTGTTGGTATTCATGATACAAATGTAAATACAGATTTACAGATGATTTGCCCAGCAACTTCATGTAGACATTAATCAACCTGGGAGAAAGAACTGAATTGTGTGGAATCACAATGAAATACTCTTAACTGTGAGACTTCATTAGTTTACCCAGTGCCTCTAATCAGATGATGTTGATTACACAATATGCGGGAGAGGACTGAGCCCTGTGGAATCACCTTGAGTTACCGTAATATATTTTTAATTGTGTAAACTTCATTAGTAATGTTGATTAAGATCTGAATAGCTGAGCCCTTGTTAGTTCCAAATGAGTTCTTTGACTAGCTAATGGGACTCAATATATTAGCATCCAAGATCTTGTTTCCTAAGCATGTCCTACTTCCTGATTTAAATTGGTTCTGTAGCAGGAATAGAGAACATCTGGCTTATCAAGTTAATTCAGGTTGCTGAGGTTTCTCATCTGGTCTCTAAACTGGTCCTCAGCTCTCTTTTATAGGTGTTTGCCTATATGAGGTTTCTTAAGCTCTCTTTGCAGCTAGACACTACTAAAGAGAGAAGGGCCCTTTAAGGGTTCTTTCAATCTCATATCCCCAAATTCCAGAAATTAGACTTTACAGAAACTCTTAGCTTAATTCTGTGTTTAGTAACTGTTCCTCAAGTATTAATAGCCACCTAGAGTCATAAGAATGGGGTGATAAATGAATACATAGAAACTTGAATGTAATTACAAAAGTCCAGCTGTATCAGCACTGAATTGAATGAGGAGAAAATATCATTATCATGTACTTGTTAATGACACAAAATCTCGTTGGGGTAGAAAGGTGAGAACTTTGCTACAAACTAAGAGCAGTCATGTCTGCTGGTTATATAAACTATTTTTTTTCAATTGAACCCGAACTGTCATAATACAATACTGTAAATTATATGGCAACATGGCTGCAGCCACTACTTTCACTTTTTTGTTTGCTTTTTAATTAGAGGGGGAAAGGAAAGATAAAATACATAAGAGAAGGCAGGAAAAGAAAATAATAACAGCAACAACAATGAGAAAGGACCAGACAGATACATGAGCTGCAAAAATAGAACTGCATATGCAGTACTAGGCTCAGAGGTGAATCCTGATTTTTTTTAAAAAATGTATTTCAGTATTAATAGATATATATATACTGTAAAAACATTTCTGAACCGCTAAAGAAAATATTTGCTCTGCAGTATACTAGATGAGTCCAGAAATATGTAAGATATAAAGTGTGTGTGTGTGTGTGTGTGTGTGTGTGTGTGTGTGTGTGTGTGGAGCGGAGGGGCAATTGGATGGGTGTGCTTAAAAGTATCGGAACAGAACTAATAGATTCTTTGGCTGTTGCACAGAGCTAGTTAGATAATTGCAAACTAGCACAGCTCAGGAATTATCAAAAAATAAATGTTAGGGTCCAAGAGGGAAACAAAAAGAATTGACTTAGAACTCCATACCACTGCATTTGATAAGAAAGGTAATTCTTTCAAGAAAAGCAACAGAGAAGAAGATGAAATTGCACTATGTGTTAAAATATCTCCACTGAATAGATTTGACAATATTGTCGACAGCTTCTGAATAGGAAAAAGAAAGAAAGAAAAAAAACAAAGAAGAAAATGTGGTTGAGAAAGTGGTAATAATAAGAACACTGAAGGAAAGTGACATACTGTGGTTTATTCTGAATGTAATTGAGTTCTGTTTTGGAGAAAAGGACAGTTTTTAATAAAAAAAAATCTGAGCAAAGGCATACAGGATTCTGCATTTGGTGAAGCTAATGTAAACAAGAGTTCAACATAGTTAAAAGTTTCTGAACAAACCCCCTGTCAACAACAATGCAAGAATTCATATAAGAGATACAAGAAGGATATATCACCAGGATGAATATTGTACATACAGCACTGTAGTAGAAGCTTAGTTCTATAAAGGTACTGCTAGAAAAGCTAGAGCTCAGAATCTGCGGTTGATGAAAGCTGTAACATACAACAAAAATGCCTTCTATAGGTATATTTATGTATTTATTTTCAGTTTTAGTAACTTGTCCAAATCTGAAAATTCTAAAGAGCGGATAACATAACAAATAGAGGAGAAAACAACTGGTATACCAATTGCTCAGTAAAATATCTTATTTCTTTTCTTTTTTTCTTTTTTTTAGGTGTATACCTTTTATTCTGGATTATTTCATAAAACGCATCACCACCTTTGGGGAAATATAAAATTCCAGAAATATATTATCTTCCGTCTCTGTTTGTTAACTCTTGCTTCCTTATTCTGTCTCTAGAGCAGAGTTTCTCTTTTTTATTATTAGTTTATATTATAAAATACAAAAATACAAAAACAAATAATAGGAAAAATAGGGGAGGGAAGACGGAAAAGAAGAGTGCAGAAAAGAAGGGAAAAAGAAAGAAAAGGCATTGACTTCCGACTCCCTTTGGATACAGTAAAGTAAGATAGTAACATCAAACCTCAACTTTTTACTTTTACATAATAGTAAAAACTAGTAAACCATTTCTATATCGACAAATCTATCTAATTGGTAAAACTTAAAATCAATGTTTCATTTTTTTCCACCTCAAGCACAAAGTCCAGAAGTGGTTTCCAAGTAGAAACAAAAGTAA